AATGCTGGACCCAAGAAGGGTCTGTAGAATGTCACTTTTACCCAAGAGTCCAAGATGGTTCCTGTGGGAAATTGCCATTGGCTGTTACGGGCATGAGCAAGTGTTGCTTGGAAAGGCTGGGGTCGGGCATCATGATGGCTCAGTGGTTGAGCATCTGCCTTCAGCTCAGGTCATGGCCCCGGGGTCCTGGGGTCCTGGGATCAAGTCCTGCGTCAGGCCCCCAGCAGGGAGCCTGCTTCTCCCTCTGCCTCTGTCTCTGCCTCTCGCTCTCTGTCTCTTAAGAGTAAATAATAAAATCTTAAAAAAAAATAGAAAGAAATGGCTAGTATCTAAAGATGTGTCTGAGCTTGAGTGGTTTCAGTGGGCCCTGTGTCCATTGGGGTAAGAGTTGTTGTTACCCCACAGGCCACAGGAGGAACCTCCCCAGTGCTCTGGGGAAAAGCCCCTTGAGTTGCCCTCTGCACCCCCCTGTCTGCTCTTGTGACCCCCTGGCTCCCCTGCGGGGCCCACCTTGGGTTCATCCACCTCTGGTTTCCTTACGTGACTCTTACGCTGTCCCCATGCTTGGTTACTGATTCGATTCAATGGCCCACCCTGGTTTTCCAGCTTTCCTTCTGGTGATGTGTAATGCTCCTGGCACAAATTCTTGGGGCTGACCCCCACAATTTGTCAACTGCCCCCCTTCCCGTCCAGCACCCCCTACACACCCAGCACTTTCCTGACTTCGTTTCTGCCAGTTCTCGTTGTGTGAGGCCTGGACTGGAGCGATCTTGGACAAGTCGTGAGGACAGACCACCCAGAGAAGTTTGGTGCTGTCCCCTCTCCTCCTGCACCCAACACCCTCGCTCCTGCTCTCCCACACTCGAGACGAAATACAGACAGGACGTGCACGTGTGCCAGCTGAAGGGAGCGCAGGGGTGCTTATTGTAGCATCGTTCAATGCACAAGAAACAACCTAAATCTCTGTCAATAGGAAGAGGTTATGATACATCCTGGTAATAGGGGAGAAAACAACTCTCTGTGTATGGATATAAAGTAATCTTGAAGACCAATTTTTTTTTTTTTTTTTACTTATTTATGATAGTCACACAGAGAGAGAGAGAGAGGGAGGCAGAGACACAGGCGGAGGGAGAAGCAGGCTCCATGCACCGGGAGCCCGACGTGGGATTCGATCCCGGGTCTCCAGGATCGCGCCCTGGGCCAAAGGCAGGCGCCAAACCGCTGCGCCACCCAGGGATCCCTTGAAGACCAATTTTTAAGTTCAAAAAGCAAGAGACAGAACGTTTATAAATTTTGCTATCTTTTGTGTTAAAAAAAAAGCAAACAGGAAACGATATTTATATATGCATGGAGTTTTTCTGGAAGGCAACAGAAACAGTGGCTGCCTCTGGGGAGGGAACGTGAGTGACTGGGGGAAGTGGTGATAGTGACATTTCCTTTCTGAGAGCTTAGTACCACGTGTCTAGTGCCAACTCAAAAATTCTAATCAGAAGCAAGATGAGCACCCGAATGTGTGGAAATGTGGAAATAGATGGGGTGCTGGGGATCACCGCTTAGTGGTGCAGATTAGGACATTAAGCCACAAGGGTAAATAATTTGTTCAAATTCCCAGGACGACGAAGCGACAAGAGCTGTGACTAGAACCTTCACTGTTATTTGGCATTTATGCTCTAGGGAGCGCAGCTTCCAGACCCTATGTAGCAGAACTTAGAAATGACAGGCTTGTACCCCAGGCCAAGATGTTCGAGAATCAGCTTCCTCATCTGTAAAATGTGTACAGTACAGTTGTTGTGAAGATGAAATTAAGCAGTGCCTGTGTCCTAGTTCCTAGCACATACCAAGCATCTGATAAATGTCAGTTACTGTTATTTATTATTTTTGGCTACGATAATGTTGGTTGGGGCAGAGAGGACTGGGAGGAAGGTTATCAGAGAAGTATCTGGAGATGAAGGTGTGTAGGGTGAAAAGAAAAATAAAACAGAGAAGGAAAGAGAGAGAGAGAGAGGCCACCCCCTTGGTTCTTATTTATGTAGATAGTCACTGGAGATTCTGAGGGAGTCAATGATGCAAAACGTATGTTAGGATGTATGTGAGAGGGATATTGGGGAGAGAAATCCCAGCCCATTTTACTGCAGATTGTCACTAAAGGCCACCTGTGATCAGCGCTGCTCCTTATGCTAAAAATAAAAGTATAACCCAGGACCATCTGGTGTGCTTTCTTTCCGTCTCTCTTTTGTTCCTGATTACCCAAATGCCCTTGTTATTCCTGCCACCTTATTCCTTTTTCTATTTTCTCTTCTGGGGCCCTGGGTCAAGTGGTGATTCAAAGCCTCTCTTGGAGGGGCACCTGGTTGAGCATCCAACTCCTGGTTTTGGCTCAGGTCGTGATCGCAGGGTTGTGGGATCGAGCTCTGCTCTGGGCTCTATGCTCAGGGCATGTCTGCTTGTGATTCTCTCTCCCCTTCTCTCTGCTCCTCCTCCCACGAGCTCTCCCTCTCAAATAAATAAATTAAAAACATAAAATAAATAAATCTTAAAAAAAAAAAAAAGCCTTCCTTGGAGAGGTGCTGAACACATCCTGCTGTTCTGGGCAGCTTTGCTCACAGCACATCTGGGCTGAGTCGCTTAGCAGGAGCCCTACAAAGCCAAGGTTTCTGGGACTCATCCCCCTGTCCTTCCCCTTTGTTCCAGGAAGCCACCTCTTTATAGGCAGAGGGGCAAGGACATGAGGTTCCATCTCTTGCTCACCCCGTGATGACCAGTAACCATTCTATTCCTGTCTTATTAGGAAGATACCATGTGAGTGAGGTTTAAAGCTCAGGTTCAGTGACTAGCCTTCGTGGGTTCAAATCCTCCTCCATGATTGCTCTGTGACCACAGGCCAGTTGTGTAACCTCTTTCCCCAGTTCCCATCTGGAAAAATGGTGAGGACAAAATGAGATAATCTGGGTAAAAGGCAGAGCACAAGACTTGGCTTAGTAAATTCTCTATAAAGGTTAGCCTGATACAGTGGCAGCAGCCTCAGCTGTAGTAGAAGTAAGCAAAAGAAGTAAAAGGCAAGTCTGGGTATTTGAGGAAAGTCCATAAGCACTGACCTCAGGGAATGGGGTCAGGATCACCAAGTGCACCTGCACCTGTGCCACTCCCCCACTGACCCCTCCCCTGCCACCCCCCCCCCCATATATGTCCAGTTGTCACTGGCTGGATTATCAGTGAAGACTACTATTTGATCCCAGTAGTTCTGCAAGAAGGGTGATGCTAAGGAGGAGATTGCTCTAGTGGACAAATATCTTTTCCTGGTTCAGGGTGATATATATGATGCATCGAAGCCTTTAACGTATGTGTCATTATTATTAATTTATTACCTTATTTCAAAGACATATATATAAAATAAAGCCACTTGACCCAGAGAGAGGTCAATAAATAGTAGATATTTTTTTAAAAATCCTGCTTTTGGCAAAAACAGATGAAGAACACCAGTTCGTTAGACTCTGCAGTTTGTAATTGATTCTGGTGGTTTGGGGTGGCATTTACCAATGGGATTATCAAATGGATTCCCTGGTCTTGGAGGAAATGGAAATGTTCATATGTATAACCAAAAAAAAATTAGACAGTGATCAAACAAGCATTTTTATAAATTAAATCAGAGGAATCCATTGTCCTTTGGTCATGCAGGTTGATAAGGTGGGGAATTGGCTCTGCAGGGGCCAGTCTGTCATTGTGTGCAGGGTAGCCTAACCTCTGCTTGAAGCAGCTGACTTTTCTGTTTACATACCAACTCACACTTTAGAAAGAACTTTCACATAAGTTATTTGATAAGTCTTCTATGGCCTAAACTCATAGGCCCTTTGCCTCGGTGGGCCCCCTTTGAACCACAGGCAATGTTGTACCCCAGTAGGACAGTAACCCCCAGCTTACTAACTGTGCTCACTACCTATCCCAGGTAAGGAAAGATTTCTCAGGTAATCATCAGGCTAATGGTCCTTCCCTGCCCTGTGATGGTTTTCCAACACAATCTGACTTTCAAACAGAATGAACTCGCATAGGCTTCTATATAGAGAAAGTTCTAAAGATGCTTTTTTCTTAAATACATTTAAATATTGGTGCAGTTTCCTTAGTCTCTAAGGGAATCTCCTTCTTGAGAATTTTGCCTCACAAATGAGATGTGCACTGTGTTTTTATTTAGAATCCAGGAAGATTTCTGTCAGATAATCTCAGAGAGACTCAGTTCTCCGCAGAATGTGCGACCTGACACTGAGACCTCAGATCAGTCACCCCAGTTTCCAAGAAAGAATTCTTGGAAATAGGTAAACTTTTATTAAAAATTAGGACAGTGTGGGACACCTGGGTGACTCAGTTAGTTAAGCTTCCGACTCTTGGACTCTTAGTTTCAGCTCAGGTCGTGATCGTAGGGTTGTGGGATCGAGCTTACTGTCAGGCTCTGCACTCAGCCAGAGTCTGCTCCAGATTCTCTCCCTCTCCTCCTGCCCCTCTCCCTCTGCTCCTGCCCTTGCTCACATGAGCATACGTGCGCTCTCTCTAAAGCAAGTAAATAAATAAATAAAATTCTAGAAAAATTCAGGACAGTGTGCATTCCCTTCTACCCAAGTGTTATGTGGCAAGTAGTTAACTGTTAGTAAATATGGATTTAGATTTATCCAGAAATGTTATTGAAATAGCCTGATACCCTATAGGAGATGTTCTGGAATATCACCCTTGACATAGTAAAGCTTCTCAATGCCACATACATTTATCTGGTCAAGGCTAAACTGCCTGCATTTGTGGAAGTTTATCTCTAGGCTCTGATTCCATGTTCAATATACTCTCAGCTTGAGCTCTACTTACGTTAAATCAATACTCCGTCACACAGAACAAGAAGACCAAATGCAGTGGATCAAGTTTACCACTTGATGCATGTAGGATATATTTAAAAATCATTGAAAACATAACATAGTAGCTTTGTCTCCATGGCAATCTCAATTTTGTGTGTGTCCCTACAGATTCACCTGAGGAATCAGAACAGTCAGCGGATATGCCCCTGGAAGTGTATGGCAGAGAAGATTTTAATACTAATGCTACGTTTCCCACGGTGACCACAGAAACATTACCTGCAAATACAAGTTTTATCGACTTTGACGATGATGCAGATCAGTTAGAATTTATATTAATGGTGTTGATCCCACTGATTTTATTTGCCCTCCTATTTTTATCAGTGATAATCCTTGTAACACGCTATAGGAGAAAAAGAGCCAAACAAGGTAACTATTTCGTTTGTTCCCATTTCCAGACAATTGCTTCATGTGTTAATGAACAGTCAGTTAACAAAATACTTCTTGCTTCTACACAGAGCCGTATAGCCCAGGATCTCAGAGTGCCTTACAGACATGTGAGTATGATCCTGACGCCTGTCTGGAGTTGGGGATGGGGAAGGAAAGAACCAAGAGTTTTTTAAATTGAGCAACAAGGACTACATAATGTAGTAAGTGGTGAATAGTCCCTTATATTTCAAAAAGAGAATAGCTTCAGCCTCAATTGAGATTTAAAACACACAGCTGCTGTCTCTGTACCATATCCAGATGAGGGCCCTGTCTAATACCAGCCAAGAGGTCCATGCAGCATTCCATACGGTGTAGGAAACCAGGAGGATGGCAAAGCAGTGGGTCAGATTGGGGCTGGGGATGAGACCTGGGCTCATCTCCACCAGAAGAGCATTCTTCTGTGTATATTTCTGTCGAAGATATGGTTTTCCTCCATGCCACATCCCAATTTGATTGTGCAAAGGCTGGAGTAAAGCATTGTTCTTATTCTCATTAAAGCCACACTAACTTTTGTATGAAATTCCCAACTGACTGCAGATTACCATCAACAATCTGAAGCCAATCCAATAGGGAGTTCTCTAGGTCAGAGATACCCCTGTGAGTATTCAGTTCCAAATCTAGAAGCAATGAACACTGGGTGTCAGGGCGCTTCTAAGTCCACAGTAGACTTGAGTATTTTTGGCTTGTTCTGCTAAAAGTGACTCCAATTAGATTTTTTAAAAATATTTTTTATTTATTTATTTGAGAGAGAGAGAGAGAGAGAGAGAGCGCATGAACCAGGGGTAGATGCAGAGAAAGAAGCAGGTTCCCCACTGAGCAGGGAGCTCAACATGGGACTTGATCCCAGGACCATGAGATTATGACCTGAGCCAGAGGCAGATACTCAACCAACTGAGCCACCCAGGTGTCCCTCCAATTAGACTTTTATAAGTTGAAGCCTTTGGTTATTCCAAAAAATCACTCTAGGGCTGAGACCATCTCTAATAAGCTACGTATTGATACGTGCATAAAAACTCACTCAACATCCCTCCCACTCACTACTAAGGACCCCCTGGCTTTGAGATCATGCCCTTGGCCTGCAGGCCTGGCTCACTGTCCTTGCACCAGGAGAGCCTTTAAGTTCTCAGCAGGAGCTATCAATGATCATTTTCCATTAGGCCAGCAGGTATGGTAAGTAGGAGCTAGGGAAGAAGCACTGATGTGCATTACCTTTCTTGGCAGGAACCAATATAATAGATTCCAAGGGAGTACAAAATACACACGCCTCTCCACTGCTTGAAATTTCAGGGTCACATGGGCGCTCCTTTGTAAGCTAAAGAAAAAGATAAAGCAAACAGGGCTGTCTGTACCCCTATTTTTTTTAACCTCAGGGAAAGTAAGAATTTCCTGCTTAAACCATAACCTGAGCCAGTTTTACCTAATGATGTCACCGGACTTGGGGGGGAGGATGGGGGTGCCCATTCAAATGTGTGTGCTTTTAGACTCTAAATCCAGGAAAGGATTTTTCATTGACCTTCATTGTGAGAATCTCAAAGTTCAAAAGCCATTCATAATCAAGAACTGGCCTCATCCTCAGATGGCTCGTGCATCCTACACTGGAGCCACACTCGAAGTATTTGCTGTTCCCGGAGCCAGGCTTACACATTCATGATGCTTTCAGGCCTGGTTGACACTATTCTTCTGTTTGGGGTTTCCTTCTTGTCTGCTTGGCAAACTGCCACCCTGTTCCTCAATGCCCAGTTCTGAAGTTTTTATGAAGCCTTGAGTAATCACTCCCCGGGCAAAATTAATCACCGCCTCTTCTGTGCTTTTACAGACGATGTTGACACTTACCATGCACTGTATTTATGTATTTATGTTGGGATAAATTGGTGACTTTTTTTTTTTTTTTTTGGTCTCTCTTACTACATTATGTTCTCTTTACGGTCCAAGAGAACCAAGAGCTTGTCTTATTTATCTTGTTTAACAGTGTGGTGTGGAGGTTAGAGTACAGGTTCTGGAACCACACTGCCTGGTTGACTTTTTCCCAGCTATGAATTCTCAGACTCGGTTTCTTTATTCTGTGAAATGGGTAAATCCAACACTTGGCTTACAGAGCTGTTGTGACAATTAAGTGGATTCATCTAAGTACGCCACTGAGGAAAAAGAGTAGCTGGCATATTGTTAGCTGCTGCTTCTTATTATTACTGACCCTTGGCCTAACATCGTGTCTAGCCCTACACATATATTAGCTGCTCAGTAAATGCCGTTGAATGAATGAGTTAATCAAACAGTGTTAGAACTTTTTTTTTGAGAACACCTCCCTATTCTCAGAGGAAAAAACAAATTTGCAACTCATTCTTAATACAAATTTGCACATTCTCTTTGGTTTGAATATGCCTCACTTTAAGAGAACACAACACAGAAATCTTAAAATTTCAAAACAATTGCTTATCGCACTTTTGGAGAGAGAGAGCTTTATCTGAATATTTTCTTTAAGATATACACAGCTGGTTAATTGCTTAACACACAGATATCTCTTCAGACTAAATGCTGAAAAGTTAACAACTACTGTCTGCTAAAGTCCACCCGTTTATATTTTACATTATAACACAAGTCAGTAAAAGGAGAGGAACACCTGGGTGGCTCAGTCTGTTAAGCATCTGACTCTTGATTTCGGCTCAGATCATGATCTCAGGGTTGTGAGATGGAGCCCCGGGGCCAGGCTCCATACTCAGCAGGGAGTCTGCTTAGGATTCTCTCTCTCCTTCTCCCTCTGCCTCTACCTCCACTTTGCCCAGCTCACTCTCTAAAAAAAAAAAAAAAAAAAAAAAAAAAAAAAAAAAAAAAAAAAAAAAAAAAAAACAAAACCAAAAACAAACAAACAAAAAAACCAAATAAATAAATCTTCAAAAATAAATAAAAGGAGAATATTCCAATTAACAAAATTTGATTTAAATATTCTTTCCAGGAAAAAATAAAACTGTCACACTGGGTCAGACCAGCATTTTTCTTGGAAAGACTCCAAAACAATGTTTTGTGGGAGGGCATGGATGATGTCCACCCAGAGAGTTAGAATTAGACATATTAGTTCCCCCCACATGAGCAGAGCCTGGTGTGCTCTTCTGCCCCAGGAGGTGAGCCTGTACCTTTGATGACTAGGGAGGGCCTGGCCCGCACATTCAGAAAGAACCCTTCTTCCGACTGGCAATCACGTTTTTCCTTTGGGCCTGTCCATTTCAAGTCCAGGAAAAAGGGAGGTGCTGGGCAGTAATGCCAAGTTCCATTGCCCCTCTTCCTAGGCCTCCAGGCGGTAGAGCATTTGCAGTTGTTATTATTTACCATTTATTAAGGGTCTTGGTGTGCCCAGTCCTTCTGAGAGCTGCAGGGAGAAGAGCTGGCAATAAGCCATTGCTCTAAATAGGCTGTGGCTACATGACACCTGGCTCAGCTCAGGACATCTCCAGAAAGAGACTCTCTCTCTCTTGCTCAGTGTTCTGCCTGGAAAGAGAGAGAAGCGAGCCCATCCCCTGCGGGGCTCCTGCTCCCATTGCCTGCCCAGCAAGCGCCCCACTGGAGGGGCCCAGGGGAGAGTAGCTGACGGTGGGGGCGGCGGCAGGCTAAGGGGGTGTAACTGGGAACTGCCTGCAGAGGACTAAGTGGGTCGGATAGTAGGAAATGGAGGGACTGTGGGAGAGGAGGTGGAATCAAGCGCAGGTGGGGGGCTGCGGGGGAGCTACATTTGCCCTCTGGTTGCAGAGGGAGTAGATGGCTTTTAATAAAGAGATCCAGGCCAGGTGGAGTGGAGAGGGCAGGGCCTGATTGCTGGGGACGTGTAATTGGTCTCCCTCCTGGTTTAATGCTCTGCTCTAGTGAGCTCTCCCAGATGTTTTCCTGTTGCCATGGTGGCTGGGGCAGGGCTAATGGTCTCGGAGCGGGGAGACGAGGCCACAGAAGGCTTTTTGCTCTGTTTGAATACTGATTACAGGAGCTTCGCATTTGGTGCATCTGGAGCACTTTTGTAATGGGTTTTTAAACTTTTCCATCATCTGCATGCAGGGTTAGGTTTTGCTCACCACAAAGCCTGCAGGCACTCAAATAATACAGATAAACCCATACCCTCGTCAGTGGGGCTGTGGGGCCACTTGTTCTCTGAGAAATTAGAGCATGTTTGTGCGTGTGTGTGTGTGTGTGTGTGTGTGTGTGTGTTGGGAGGAGGTTACTAAGCAGGAAAAGAGGGGAAGGGAAAGGCAAAACAGGGGGATCTTTAGGGGTCACATCTAGGGGAGGTTCAATTGTGCAGGGACTTTATTTATAGTAAAATCCCTTAAGGAAATAGCATATCAATTTTAGATTAAAAGTATTAATTAATAAAGAAATATAAGATGGACGTACACCCGTTTCCCCAGTCCAAGTGTCTGAGGATCAGGTGCCTGCAGGGAGCTTCAGGTTCCAACCAGGGGCAGAAAGACATAGCCCAGAGCCCCTGGAAGGTGAGTGGGGACGGCACAAGGCTTCCCTCTGTGCCCAGCTGTCCTGGATCAGCGATGCCGTGAGAGCTTGCCAACCCACAGGAAATTACGGCGGCTCTCGGCTGCCAGGAGCTCAGGTCCAGGTGCCTGCTGGTTCTGTTTCCTCGATGGGGACCTGCATTTCTGCAGGCCCGGCGAAAAGAGACCTCTGATTGCCAAGGATCAGGAACATCTGGCTCTTCGGCCGACCTCTATGAAGTGGTTCGCTTCTCAATGCCTCTCCCGTCACAAGAGGTGCTGTGGGCCTATGCTATGCACTTACTTGACATCGCTGCCTCATTTCTCTGGGGGCAAAACAAAACAGAGCTTGAGCTGGGGTACTGGGCTCTTGACTCCTGCCACACATTCATCTGGAGTCTGATGGGCATTTGACAAACAGTTAGCTGGTTCTCACCTCAACTGCAGCAACAAACAGCGGGTTTGCTCAAAGCTTCACTTTTATGATATGACTAAGTCCAAAACATTGGGCATGAATTTAACCCGTGTTGGACCATCCAGATCAAGACCTGCTCATTTATTCAATACATGTTTACTGGATGTTTGCCAGGTACTGTGCCAGCTAGATGGGAGGTGAGGGGACATCAGGACGGACAAGACAGGCATGATCTCTGTCCTTTTGGAACTATGTTTTAGTGGGCGGGACAGACAAAATTAAGCAGGTGGATTGACCAATGGCAAATTGTGCCAAGGGCTGTAAAGGAGTAAGCAAGGTGCTGAGCTGGGAAACAACTGGAAGGGTGAGCCCTGCTTCAGCTAGAGGGTGCTCCTTGAGTATAAACCGAGACCAGAAGGGCATGAGAGCAGAGTTCCAAGGAGAGACCTTGATGGAATACACCACAGCCTGCCCCGGGACAAAGAGACAGTCACAGTGTTGGGCTTGTTGGGTCACAAGGAGATACAGGAGTGATATTTCGAACTGGGACATTTTGGGGTAGGGAACCAAGGAACAGTCCTTCTTGTCTGACTCTTCCTTGCTTTCTCTCACCATGAAGGTTTTCTCCTTTATATGGATTAAAAATAAATAAATAAAAAGGAATAAACATCTGATTTGAGGTAATAAACACTCTCAGAGGGCCATCATATCTTGGAAAAAAAAAAACAAACAAGCAGATTCCATATGGATTAGGACCTCATTTCAATACGGCACATGTTTGACTCAGAGGCTAATTGTTGCTCCCTTAAAAATGCTATTGACTTAAAGTCCCCTCTTGTCTCTGTAGAGATTTCAGCTGTTGGTGAAATAAAAAGTTGTTATAAGACAATGAAAGCTAACATAACTTTTATATATTTTTTTCTCTTTAGATGAACTGGGAAGTGAAAACATCAAAGTGTAAGTCTCCGCTGCCTCCAACCCAGCTCAGTGTAGACAAGGGTATCAGAGAGAAGGGCAGAGTAGAGAGCCACCTGCTTTTTTAAGAGTCGTCGTTCTGATACCCTTGACGGGCCTCTTGGCTTCCTGGGCCCCGAGAGAGGGCCCTTAGCAGGCTGCAGGGGGAGGGGGTGTGCACTCTAGTCCCCCAACCTCCATTTAGTGGGGGATCTGGGTGTTGAACAGGGTCCTCTTCCAAAAACCATCTTGTCTGACTGCTATCAGTTCCAAATGCATTGTAGTTAAATATTCCGACCCTGGGTGTATTTGACAGACATCGGTTTGTTTATTCTGATTAAAAATTTTATCACCAGGAAAGCTAATGTTCACTGGTATTAAAGCAGGAGAGCCTTGGTAGAAGCATAAAGTTCATGCAGCAGAGCCACATTAGGGTGGGAGAGAGAAGAGGAATGGAGGGGGAGAGGAAGGAAAGAAGGAGAGAGATTGAGAGAGAGAGAGAGACTAGAAAAGAGGGAAAGAGAAAACAAAATTCCACCAGAATAGTGCTCTGGGGCAATGTCACCACCTCCTCCCCCACTCTCTCCCCAGCAACTTTGCCTGTTTAGACACTTTGCTCACTTCCTCTGCACAGGGTCACGCCCATGCTGTGGTTCAGAGTGGGTGGTCCTCCACCCCAGCCCCATTTACATTAACCAGGGGCTTCTTTCCCATGACCATGTGCTCTGAGCCCCGGTAAGGGAAGGCAGTGGGTTTCTGAAAGCAATGGCTCCATGTCTCCACCATGGAAAAGCCTGGGAGTTGACAGGAGAGGTGATCAAAGTAGCCTGTTCTCAGTGGCCACTTGACCCAGGGCACAGGTCAGAAACCTCAAGAAAAGGGAAGTGAAATTAAGCAAGGCCCCAATGCTATACAGGGCAGCTCCCCTGAGGATGGTCGTGGTGGAAGCCTGGCAGCTCAACTTTGTACCTTCTGGGAGCAGAGTCTCCTGGGCTCCCTTTCAGCCTGAGAGCTGGACTGTGTGGCCTCCGTCTTTGGATCAGTGATGGATGAAGGCCTATCTGAGTTCTAGCCTTTCCTTCTTTGAGAATTTGGGACACGCGAATGGGGCAAACCCCCAATCTGCCCTGGAGTGTCACATGAGAAACCAGGTTCATCTTTCTCCCATTCAACAGTCCAGGCTCTTCCCAAATGAACTAGGCACACCAGTGGATTTTTGTTTCAACACTGTTTTTGCTCTTCCTCTAGGCCCATTTTTGAGGAAGACACACCCTCTGTTATGGAAATCGAAATGGAAGAGCTTGACAAATGGATGAACAGCATGAATAGAAATGGTACAGTAACTTAGAGTCGCTTTTTCTGTCTTCTGTCGTATGAGAAGGTGCAAGAGTTTTAGAAACACCCAGTGAATCCTGGAGTGGATGGCGTGAGCCCAATCCACATGAGATCTGCAGCATGTAGATAATAAACCTGGGTCAGACCATCCTTAAAGACTCGGTTTGATTAGGGCACCACTTAGTGCCATTTGTTTTTATTTTTGCACAAGCTTTTGACGTGGCCTCTTTGAAGAAGCAAATGGTCTTTTTTCAGACAAGGAACTCTCTAGGTCCAAATTATCTGGAAGAAATTAGCATCTGGCATTACCTTATATACTGTAGTATTTAGAGATCTACAATTTTAATCTGTATGTGGTTATAAAACTTCACCACATGTAGTTTACGTAGTTCAGTGCTGTCCAGTGCAATAGACACTAGCCATATTTAAATTTATTTAAATTAAAATTTTAAAAATGAAATAAAGTCAAAAATATTGTTCTTCAGTCACTCTGGCCACATTTTGAGTGCTCGGCAGACTATATTATACAGTGCAAATCTAGAACATTTCTGTTGCTATAGGAAGTTCTATTAGATAACACTAATATATGTAGTATAATAAAAATTCTCATGAACTTATTTTCCATTTGATATCTGGCAGTAGTTCTATATGTTCCCTACTTTTTAAAGTCAGTATTTGAATTTAAAAATGATGGCAACTTGGGGCACCTGGGTGGCTCAGTTGGTTAAACATCTGCCTTCGGCTCAGGTCAAGATCCTGGGGTCCTGGGATCAAGCCATAGAGGCGCTCTGCTTAGCGGGGAGCCTGCTTCTCCCTCTCCCTCTGCTGCTCCTCCCACTTGTGCTCTCTCTATCTCTCTTTGTCAAATAAATACATTTTAAAAAAATCCTTAAAAAAATGATGGTACCTATTTTTTCTCCTTTTAAAATTCCTTTAGAAGGTCAATAAATTATTTTTAATGCTCAGATTAAATTAACAAACTCCACCATTTTTATTGTCATATAATTTGTATTTTTTAACATTCATCTTTTAAAAATACCCTGGGAGTTGGTCAGATTCAACAATAACGAAGTCCAAATCCGGAGACCTGTTATCAGAATTATTGCACCAGAGGCTTATCAACATAAGCTTTCCAGAAGATTAGAACCATTCAATAAACTCGTACAATTTTGAACAGAACAGTTTTTTTAAAAGATTTTATTTACTTATTCATGAGAGACACAGAGAGAGGCAGAGACATAGGCAGAGGGAGAAGCAGGCTCCCTGCAGGGAGCCCGATGTGGGACTTGATTCCAGGACCTTGGGATCACAACCCGAGCAGATGCTCAACCCCTGAGCCACCCAGGCATCCCAACAGAATAGTTTTTCATAGTCCATTACTGAGGAAAGAATGGCTCCATAAAGCATTGAAGGTTAGGGGCAGGCCACTAAGATAATCCTTAAGGTAGTTTCATTTTGTTGTTTTTAGTTTATAAAATATATATAACATAATTTTGAAAATGCAAAAAAAAAAAAAAGTAGAAAGAAGAAAAACATCACACCACCCAGAGATAACCTCTTTGAATAATTTGACATATTTCCTTTTGTGCCTAAGATAATGTAATACAAAATCAGGACCCTGTTACACTCATTAAATCAGAAACTCGGAACAAGGCCTTTCTATTTAACAACTACAGCAGAGAGTTATTTTGACACATTAGTGATGGAACCGATGGATTTTGTTTTTCCTTTAAAAATCACTGGCCCTAATAGGAGAGAACTCTGACAGCTTTAAGAAGGTTAGTTATTCCTCACTTTCCCTGCTGCTTTTGGAGTGTGTGTCCTGCCTGAAGTCATGCTGCAGGCATATCAGGACCTCCGGTAAAGCTATTTTATTCCAGTGTTTAACCTGAAACATGCAGATTCTAGCTTTTGGAGCAACAGTGGGGTTCTTCAGGGACTGAATAACCAAGCAGTGATGAATTGTGCCCTTTCCAACAGGGGCAGAGGCATGTTGAAGTCTTGTATCTGTGCTTCTAATGCTTTTTCCATTTCAAGAGCCTTGCCATCATTAATCTTTTAACCTCTGGAACTCCCTAGTGAGGCCATTTCTGCACAAGTAACTGGACAGATCAGGGACATGCGATGCTCAAATATAGGGGTTTCGTGGATAGGAAAATAAAATTTTGGTGACTAACCATGAGTTTGCTTTTTTTCCATCCTAGCGGACTGTGAATGTTTACCTACTTTAAAGGAAGAGAAGGAATCAAACCACAACCCAAGGTACTTCTAATTTCTACCATTGATTATATGTATGTGGGGGAGGGAATTGGAGACCAGGGTAGAGCACTTTTGCTTACCGTCTCTGTGCCTGTACATTTTCTGTGACAATTCACATATGTGCGTAGTGTGGGGAAAAGAAAGCATGGCAAATAGAAAAATATAAAGTAAATATCCTTGTGATATATAGATACAGTCTTTTTTTTTTTAATAGATACAGTCTTTAGAAGTAAATTAGGACTGGCATTTTCTTGCCCTTCTAAAGAGACACCGTTGAAGCGGCTTCTGTTTTAGTCATAAAACTTGACGATTATATCAAACTATAGTTTTGTTTCGCTTGGGTGAATAGATGTTTGGTAAGGAAAACAGATGGGAAGTGGCAGTCTTAAGGGGGATGATTGTGAATAAGAGCGGACAAAATGAACATCTAAAAACCAAAACAAAAGAAAACCCCACCTGGCTTGGATTGTTACAGGAGAGAAATTAAATGAGAATTTACTAAGCACATTCCATTCCACCACTAGGTGGCTCTGCCTGATAGAAAATTTTAGTGTCTAGGGCTTTGGTGTTTTTCAGCACACCATGATCTTGTTTAAATTTTGTTATCTTTTATGAGGATAGAAATGTGCATGTTTGGGGTGGTTTTGATTGGAGAATTATTTGGTCAGGACATGGGAAGTGTCATAGGAGAAAGGATTGGTGATTCAGCATTCCAGGGACCTGTTCCACACAACAGCACTGTGATTTGGGGGGCACCAAGTTGTTGGTAGGGGTGACTCAGAGGTGATCAGTGAGCAGAGAACTTGACTGAGCCTGTGACTGACACTTTATAATAAACTGGGCGCCTGGGTAGCTCAGTCAGTTGAGCATCTGCCTTCGGCTCAGGTCACGATCTCCGGGTCCTGGGATCGAGGCCCACATTGGAGTCCCTGCTCGGTGGTGGCGGAGCCTGCTTCTCCTCTCCCTTTGCCCCACCCCTGCCCCTGCTCTCTCTCTTTCACTTGCTCTCTCTCAAATAAACAAATAAAAATTTTAAAAAATTAGAATAAACTTTCAGAGCAGGATACTATCTTCTCTCCCTCCATGTTAACCAAAGGCTGTGCCAGTCATCTTAAATGCTTCCAGAGTGCAGTCACTGGTCACTGGGCAGTCCCAAGGCTGGAGCGTCCCAGGGGAAGATTGAGAGTAGAATGTGGTTGGGGCAGTCAGATGTTTGTCTTCTGGACTCTTCTTCTGCACCTTCCCCGAAACCTTATCGGAGAGGTGGTCACCCCACATCTCACACATCAGGCCCTCAGGCCCTCACAGTCTTTTTTTTTTTTTTTTTAAGATTTTATTTATTTATTCATGAGAGACACAGAGAGAGAGGGAGGCAGAGACACAGGCAGAGGGAGAAGCAGGCTCCATGCAGAAAGCCCGATGTGGGATTTGATCCTGGGACTCCAGCGCCGAAGGCAGGCGCTAAACCACTGAGCCACCCAGGGATCCCAGGCCATCACAGTCCTAATGAGCCAAGCCTAGGCTCTGACGTGGAAGTCCACTTTGTATTGAAGATATCAGGCATTATTAGTTAAAATAATGTTTCTCTTAAAGTTGCATCACTGGCTCAGGAAAGATTCTATCCTATTTAAGTGAGATACCAGATACTAACAAGCAGATGAAAGAGAAAAATTCTAGGGGGAGTATCACAAAGGAAATCACAGAGCAGTATTTTCTCTGCAGTTTAGTCTTACCTAAAGATGAGTCACTGTGTAATTCTGTGTAGGGTTCACTCACATCACCACCAAAACCCTATAAATATCTTATTACCATATTTCTGACGGGTACCCTCCAATGATGCGAAACATTGGGGGTTTTATACACCTGCCTCCTGATCTCTGAAATTATTGGCAACATGGAAGAGACCTAATGTTAGAGAATTACATGGTTATGACAGCATCTTAGAAATCAAGTTTCTGAAATACTGAAAGGTTGGTCTTTGAAATAAGCTGTAGCTCATTTCTGCCTATAAGACAAAAAGCCTTAACCGATTTGGAGGGCTGCTTTATGCTAAACTATTATTTTTTCAGGTGAATGTCCACATTCTTCTGTTGGTCCAGAACTATCTGACTTTGATTCAGAGGACACTGGTCAGGCCTTACCCACTCAGCGATGTCAGAACCAGGGCTATGCAACCAGCAGTGGCAAGTCCCAGAGCCTTGGTGCTATAAGGACGTTTTGATTACTCAAAGAGCAGTACAATACTATAAAGCAAATCTAATTTTTAGTCACCAAAAACTCTGAAAGATACAAAGCACTTAGAACAAAGCCTGCCACAAAGCAAACTCTCAATAAATATTGATATTATTATTAAAATTCATAGACATAAATTCACTGCCCTTTGGGCTAATAAGCCTGTGTCCAAAGGCCCAGGCACATCCACGTTAGTGGTTGGGGCATTTTTTTTTAAAGCTTTCTATTTTAGTTTTAGGTGTACAGCAAAATGAGCAGAAATGACAGGTCCCATATGCTCCCTACCCCTATACACACACAGCCTCCCTGACTATTGGTGTTCCACGCCAGAGTCGTACATTTGTCGCAATAGGTTAACCTACTTTGACACATCAGTACTCCCAAAGTTCCCCATTGGCTTTAATGTCTGAGACTCATCCTTCCTCTGCCATTTAAGCAGTGAACGGGTGACTGTACCGCTTCAGAAAGTATGTAACAGTCACTGTAGATTGAACTTAGTAGAAAACCTACTTCTCCATCCTCTTGCTAAATTAAGACTTCCAGAATGCATTTAAAGAATTCAATTCATCTTGATGCTAGAAAGACACCCTGACACAGAACCTCTGTTATATGTAAAGTCTTTGTACTTCTGGAAAAAGGAGTCAATCTGGTCACCACCCTACACTTAATGCACTATGTGGGGTGTAAAGACTTTTCTTTCTCATCAGGATCCATAGTCTCAAGTCTTTTAGAACTCTTCCCACATATCCCATTGACCAGCCATTGTTCATTACTTTGCCCTGTCCTCATTGAATGGACATTTTCTTTTATGTTGTGGAATCTAAAGTTTAGCACAGGATTTTATTAAGGGCCAGAGACACACAAAGCCGTATGGGAAGTTTATACTATGGTTTTCATGTCTTTAGAAAATCAATAAGAAGAGACAACAAAGGAATTGTGTACAAGGGAGAGTTTTATATTCATATTTCCTACCTTAGCATTTCTCCCATAATTCATATCTGTTATGTGTGAGACATTGTAAGTGGAATGCTGTTTAAGGGTTGCGGCAGGGCAGTGGGAGAGGTCTGCCCTAGAGTCGAAGAGAATTTCATCACTGGCATTGTTAAGCTTTGCCAGCACTCAGTGATAACAGAGAGCAGATCTATTGAGTTGGTTATATTATTGTTTAAATTCTCTGTAAAGAATGCACTGCCTTATTGTCTGCCCCTCCCAGCACCTTCCTGAATGCCGCTAGATAGTTAGTAACCACAAAGATAGACTCCCTTTCATCATAGTGCTTACAGTCTAGCCAGCCTGTCCCTTCTTCCCGAGGCCTTTATAGTGAGACAATTTCCTGCAAGCATAGTGTTTCTGTCTCTGCAAGCTTAGGTGACAAACCACAGAAAAGGAATGGCAAACATTAGCCGAGTGTCCATCTTCTTTCCCTTATGCCAATTGGCCACAGTGATGAGTTTATATTGAGTAATAGCATTGGGAAAGACTAGGGAAAAAATTGATTTGGTTCCATCCAAGTGGATTTATAATGTATAATTTCGTTATTTTTATAATAACAAAAAATAATAAGACATTTATATAGCATCTTATACATACTGGATTCCTGGGTACTATCACGTAGGAAGTTGAGTAGTCAGAGAGGGTAAATAACAGCATACCCGTTCTGGTTTTGTGATAATTCTATTGTTTATTTTATGATTCACGTCTGAGCTCAATGACATAAAAATGGATCACTTCAGTATTTCTCGGGAAAATCTAGGTTAGTTTAATAAAGAATTTCGTGAATTTCTTCCTGTCTCTGCTCTTTGTCTTTTTTTTTTTTAGAAAAGTATGATGATGTAATTTTACAAAATATATTTACTGAACAACCTATTATGTGCCTAGCATTGTCTACATCACATCAGTTCAACCAGCTAAAAATGAAATAAACTGTATGAGTAAACCTGGAGCTTGGAGCGGTTCAATGATTTGTCTAATTTACACAGCAGGTTTATGATAAAACTCAATATTTCTTTTAAAACTACATTTTTGAGACACCTGGGTGGCTCTGCGATTGAGCGCCTACCTTTGGCCCAAGGCATGATCCTGGAGTCTCGGGATCCCCCTGTGGGGAGCCTCCTTCTTCTTCTGCCTGTGTTTCTGCCTCTCTCTCTGTGTCTCTCATGAATAAATAAACAAAATCTTTATAAAAAAAAAACCAAAAACTACATTTTCATTTTCTTTTATTAATTAGTTAAGAGATATTCCACAAATTAGAGATCAAAAAAAATAGAAGGAACACTCAGCAGCAAGAAAGGCAGCCACCATGAGGCTAATGCATGAAAGTATTTGGTGAATGATGTATCCATCACCTCGTGTATTCATGGATGAGACTGAACCATTAATTGCAAGAAAACAGCAGGTTTGGTGAACTGTGTTGGCCTCTCGGCTCAAGTAAATCTCTGTAGCCCCTTCCAGTTATTTTCTCTATGAGTTTCTTTCCTCTTTTCCTTTCTAGTCTCTCAAAAGTCCTTTTAAAACTCAGTAAGTATTAAATAAGAAGTATATTGAGTGCCAACTGATTTCCCTCAAATCTGAGCTCTGTATTTTGAGGGATACAAAATAACTGCTTATAAAAAAAAAAAAAGGAACCACTTATAATCCTGCAGGATGATAACTTCAAATAACATTGTTAAAATGCAGGTGTGTATGTGTATGTGCACGTGCGTGTGCATGTGGTGGGTGAGGGAAGATGTATTAAATTTAATAAGCTTGAATAGTGGCCCAGATTATGTCTGCTGTGGGCATGATCTATGTGTGTTGGATGAATGTTAGGCCTGGGTGTGATGTTAGCCAGATGTGTGACCTCTGTAATTCTCTCCCTACCCCCCAACCTCCCTCCCACCCCCTCCCTGCCCCAGGGCCAGGGCCAGGGCTACTTGGGGAAGGAGAAGGGATGTTATATTGCTGAAGAGAAAGGGAGCATGATCTAATTGTGAGGTGACTTTGTGCTGTGCTGAGCTCTGTACTCCCCCCAAACCAAGTTAGGAAGCATCATCACACAAGAAAGGTTTAATGCAGGTTTATTGCCATCTTTGGAGCGAGGAAACATTAGCTGTGGTCATGAAGAGGAAGTGTGAGAAGATAAACTGGTCAGGAGAACAAAGATGGCTGCGCCCCGGGGGCACTCGGGAAAGAGGCCTTCAGAGCTGTCCTCATTTCACTGTTAGCTTCCCGATTTAATGCTTTCTTAAAAATCATAAGATGACGCTTTGTCATCAGTTCAATTTGTTTTTACAGTTTGTGGGCCTGTTACTATAAAGGCTTTTGCGAAAGCTGTCCCACATTCTTAAAATATCTACATAACACTCAGAAAACTTACTCTCTAATGCCGCTGTCGTAGACAAGACGCTAACACTGCCGGAATCAACACTGAGGCAAGCAATGGAAGTTTGAGGCAGGATCACTTATTTTATTTGGTGCAATTGTGTGGCAGTGGGCCAAGATATTTTTAACAGGGAACTCTAGGATTTGCCAGAGTTGAAAACGCCTGGGCTCATTTGATCATTTCACAGAGATGATAAATAGCCACAGAGACAGCAGGGAACACGTCTAACTAGACAGAGGAATGAGCGAGCGAGAGAGAATGCCTCCAGGCGCAGGTCGTGGGCCGGAGCCCAGGTTGCTGACTTTCACACAGGCCTGACGGCCACTGCGCCACCGCCAGTGAAAATTTGCGTGTGAGAGTTGCAACACTAGGAATGACTTGATGTCCCACGGCTGAGGCAATTGGTATCCACTTTGGGACAGTCTTGTGTGGCAGGCCCTGTCACACTGCTCGCAGTCCACAGAGCCGAGCAGAGAGTGCCAGGTGTGAGCTCTGGGCTCCTTGGTGCTTGAAGTAAACAAGTTCTGGTTGGTGACGGTGCCACCAGCTAAGCCCTCAAAATGCTTGTAGAGCGTTTTAAACAAACCACATTTAAGTACATTCTCCTCAGAAATGGAAAGTTTGGAGGCACCAAACTTTGGCTCGGCCTGTTAAGCATCTGCTTTCAGCCCAGGTCATGATCCCAGGGTTCTGGGATTGAGCCCCACATCGGGCTCCCTGCTCAGTGGGGAGCCTGCTTCTCCCTCTGCCTCTGCTGTTCCCCACCCCCCATGTATTCTCTCTCTCTCTCTCTTTCAAATAAATAAATAAAATCTTAAAAAAAAAAAAGAAATGGAAAGTTCGTTTTGGAAGATTCTTTCTTAAAGACTTTGCATTTTGAAGCAGTGTTCAAGCTTGTGTTTAACCAAAAAACATTTGCTAGCATAGAATCTGCAAAATAAGAATAACATACATTCGTGTGTTTGTGTGTCTGGCCGCTAGTATGGTGCCTTACGGAGATTTGCTCACCTATCCTTTACAACAACCCTGTAAGATACATGGTATTATTATGTGCGTTTTGCAGATGAGATAAACACAGAAAACTGAGCCTAAAAAAAGGTCAATTTGCCCAAGGTCACATGGCCAGGAAGTGGCTGAGCCTTGATTCAAGCTCTGGCTGTCTGACCCTGTGCTCTTATCTACTACGCTGAAAGAGCCACTGTTAGCACATACTAACCTTAGTACTGCCATAAAAACAACATGAGGTGTGAAATACCTAGGCATAAACTTAACCAAAAAATGCATGGCATAATATAAAAAGAAATGGTTCAATTTTATTGAGGGACATAAAAAAATTTTTAAAATAGAGAGACACATACTGTGCTCCTGAAAGACTCCACAATGCAATAAAAATGAAAATTTAGAGCTCTGTCTCATGCCATAGATTAAAATAGACGCCAAATAAGATTAAATGTTAAAAAAAAGAAAAAAGTACAGAAAAAATATAAATATTATTATAACTTTGAGGTAGGGACTAGTTGAAAGCATGACACACGAATCAAAAACCGTATCAGAAAAGCATAGATTTAGGGGTGCCTGGGTGGCACAGTCCGTTGAGCATCCAACTCTTGGTTTTGGCTCAGGTCATGATCTCAGGGTTCTGGGATCCAGGCTCACATGGGACTATACGCTCAGCAGGGAGTCTGCTTGGGATTCTCTCCCTCTCCGTCTGCCCTCCCCCCTGCTCTCTCTCTCAAATAAATAAATAAATATTTTTTTAAAATAAATATTTTTTAAAAGGAAAGAAAATCATAGATTTAAACTACATTAAAAGCTCCAAATTTCTTTACTTCAAAAAGCACAATAAATAGAATGAGGAGGAAAAGGAAAACTGGGGAAAAGTATTGGCAATATATGTATAATGAACAAAAATTACTAATACACAAACCAATAAAAAGATAGTCCCATTCTATTTATTTATTTATTTTTAAAGATTTTATTTATTTATTCATGACAGACACAGAGAGAGAGAGAGGCAGAAACACAGGCAGAGAGAGAAGCAGGCTCCATGCAGGGAGCCCGACGCGGGACTCGATCCTGGTCTCCAGGATCCTACCCCGGGCTGAAGGCGGCGCTAAACCGCTGGGCCACTGGGCCTGTCCAGTAGTCTCATTTTAAATGAGTAAAAATTATCAATATTAGCAATTTAGCAAAAGAAAAAAATCAAAATTACCAATAGACCTTTAAAAATGTTTATTTTTCTTAGAAATCATAAAAAGTAAAGGTAAATATGACGATATTTTCACCTATTGGATCAATAAAAAATGAGAATAATAATATCAAGGATTGGAAAGGAAATCTCCCTAAAGAGAATGTGGGGAGGAAAAAAATCTAGGGAAGGGGTAATTTGACAAAGGGCTGTTTAAGCTTTAATATGAGATATATTTTAGCCTGGCAATTTCTCTTCTAGGTATGTATATGCAAAGGTAACAACTGGGAGTGTGCAAAGATTTTTTTTTAATTTTTTTTATTTATTTATGATAGTCACACAGAGAGAGAGAGAGAGAGAGAGAGAGAGAGAGAGAGGCAGAGACACAGGCAGAGGGGGAAGCAGGCTCAATGCACCGGGAGCCCGACGCGGGACTCGATCCCGGGTCTCCAGGATCGCGCCCTGGGCCAAAGGCAGGCACCAAACCGCTGCGCCACCCAGGGATCCCCCAAAGATTTTTTTATACTAAATAAAAACTAAAAATCAGAAGTAGTCTACAGGTTTAACAATAAGGACATAGTTTAAAAAATGGTTTTTGGTCTGATGAGACACTAGAATGCTCTGTAGCCGCTAAAAAGATACTGTATTTTTATTAGCAAGGAATGATGTCTGTATGTGAATGACAGTGAGAAAAGCAGATCACAGCGTGATATTCATGATATGATTCCATTTTTGTACCAAAGAATGTATATCATGATCAGAGGAAGGAAGTTTGGAAGAGTACAGACCAAAATGTTAACTGTGGTAAGATTGTTAGTGTTTTTCGTTTTGCTTAGTTGTATTCATTTTTTCAACAAAGAGTATGGATTGGTGTTTGTTTGGTTTTTGTTTTTTAGATTTTGTTTTATTTATTTGTTCATGAGAGACACACAGAGAGAGGCAGAGACACAGGCAGAGAGGGAGAAGCAGGCTCCCTGCAGGGAGCCTGATGCAGGACTCGATCCCAGGACGCCAAGATCATGACCTGAGCCAAAGGCAGATGCTCAACCACTGAGCCACCCAGGCATCCCAGTTAAAAAGTTTCTTAATCTTCCATCAGCTTTCCATTTCAAATAAGTTTTGCTATAGAAGTTGTCTTTTGCTCACAACTGCCCGCCTCCTCCTTTCCCATCGATGGTCCGACCTTATCACAGCTTCTTCACAACACAAACACCAACACATAACCATACACACATTATCTCCCCTCTCCTTCCATGGATAGATCTATTTATCTATCAAATTGCTTCAGTCTTTTTAGAAACACATGCTGGTTCCCCGAGCAGGAGAGCTCTGAAGCAGGCGTCAGGAGAACCTAGCTGTTGCAGACTGTACACACCTGTGAGCTAAGGAGTTGTGAGGTTCTGTTGATTCTTATCATCCAGGCACTTTCTTGGAGACAAAGGTCACTTCAAGTAGGGATGTTCTGGAATTGGAGTGAAGGGACACAAAACTGAAGAAAGAAGTGGGAGGAGAGGTAGAGTGGCCTGCTTTCCAGGAGATGTGGGTGGAGGCATGGTCTCAGTGGGAAAAGCTGCAGAGCCAGATATGTGGCCAAG